TGCAGCGAAGATTTACCAGGCTGACTCCGGGGATGGTGGGTCTGACATATGAGGAGAGATTGACAAGGTTGGGATTGTGTTGTTTAGAGTTCAGACGAATGGAGGGGGGATCTCATAGAGACTTATAAAATTCTAACAGGACTGGACAGGGTAGATGCAGGGAGGATGTTCCCGATGGTGGGTGTGTCCAGAACCAGGGGTCACAGTATGAGGATTCGGGGTAGACCATTTAGAATGGAGATGAGGAGACATTTCTTCACCCAAAGAGTGGTGAGCCTGTGGAATTCATTACCACAGGAAGTAGTTGATGCCAAAACACTGAATGTGTTCAAAAGGCGACTAGATATAGCACTTGGGGCGAATGGGATCAAAGGTTATGGGGAGAAAGCAGGGTTAGGCTGTTGAGTTGGACAATCAGCCGTGATCATATTGAATGGCAGGAAGGCTCTAAGGGCCGAATGGCCTCCTCCTGCTCCTTTCTTCTATGTTTCTATAGAAATCGTACTATCCGGGTGCATAACGGCCTGGTATGGCAACTGCTCTGCCCAGGACCGTAACAAACTATAGAAGGTGGTGTGCACATCCCAGACCATCACGGAAGCCAACCTTCCATCCATGGACTCCATTTACTCCATTACTCATTGCTCCAGAAAGCCTGTCAACATCCCTCCCACCCCAGGAGAGCTCTCTTCCATCTTCTTCTTTCAGGCAGAAGATACAGAACAGGTTCAAGAACAGCTTCTTCCCTGCTGCTAGTAGACTGCTGAATGCACTTTCTAACTTCAAATAATGTTGATCTTGCTAATGTTGATCTTGCTTTGTGAACCTCCTGTGCAGCCATAACTTCGTACACCTCGCTCTGTCTAAGCACCCTGTGATCTGTATGTCCTTGTTTGCTGTGATCTGCCTGTTCTGCTCGCAAAACAAAACTTTTCACTGGATTTAGGTACACATGACTACAATAAATCAAATCAGTTCAATGAGCGTTAACCACAGAGATGGATAGATTGGCTCCATGTTCATTGCATGTTTTCTGTCTCCACTTCAAGCCCCAAATATGAGAGGCATTGAACATAAAAGCAAGGATGTTATTGCATCAGTTATACAGTGTCTTGGTGAGGCCACATCCCATGTGCCGTGTGCAGTTTTCCTTCTTTAAGGACAGATGTCAATGTGTTGAAGGTTCGGAGGAGATCTTCTAGAATGATGGTTGTCATCTGGTTTGTAGTTGGGGATGGTTTCTGTTGCAGAGTGACACCAACACCGTGGGTTGAAGTCCTACATTGGCTGAGGTCAATCTGAAGGTCCCACCTTCTCAGCCATGACCACCAGCCGTCTCTCTCTAATGACAGAGTAGGAGCATGGTGACTTTGGTTAACTACTCGATTGATACCTGGAATGACTAGCTGACCTATGAAGACGGATTGGTCAGGCTGTGTCTGTTTTCATTGGAAATCAGAGGAACTCGGTTTAATTTGATTTTTTTTTCTTTATTCATTCACAGGATGAGGGCTTTGCTGGCCAGGCAGCATTTATTGTCCATCCCTAATTGCCCAGAGGGCAGTTAAGAATCAACCACATTGCTGTGGGTCTGGAGTCACATGTAGGCAGTTTCCTGAACAATTAATAGTGAACAGATGAGCTTTTCCCGACAATCGACAATAGATTCAATGTCATCATTAGATTCTTAATTCCAGATATTTTTATTGAATTCAAATTCCACCATGTACCATGGCAGGATTCAAACCCAGGACCCCAGAACATTATCTAGGCCATCACCTCCCCTAGTGGTATTATGAAATTTAGGCTAATGAAATTCTGACAAGGTCTTGACAAAGTGAAAGTGGACAGGACATTTCCTCTGCCACAGACGGTGGTCCAAGGTGGGCTCATTGAATATTTTTAAGGCTGCGGTGGATAGAGTCTTGACAGACATGGCTATTAGGGTTAATCAGGAGTAGATGGGAATGCGGAATTCAAAACAGGAACAGCCGTGGTCTTATTGAGTGGCATAGCATGCTTGAGGGGTTGAATGATCTATTTATGTTCCTATTTCATACGTTTGTGCATACAATTGTTTGTTTGTCACCGCTTGAGTCAGCTGCTGAAACCCTCATCCTTTCCTTGTTCCCTTCACATGCTGACTATTCCAACACACTCCGGACTGGCCTTCCAGTTTCGATGCGAAGCCACCTAAAGCTCTTCCTATGTCTGAACTCACAAGAGGTTCTGTTCCCCTATCTGCCGTATGATCTCTGGTCTATATTGGCTTCTGGTTCAGTAGCACCTTGACCTCCATGATGTCTCTCCTCCTGATCTCTGTAATTTCCTCTGGCCTTGCAACTGGAACAGCTTAGCAAAGGGATCAGCTAGTTTGGGAGCACAAGTCTTCAGCTCTACGGCCTGTGCAGTATTCAATGCCTTCAGCCATTTCTTAAAACCACATGGAGTGAATCGAATTGGCTGAAGATTGGTATCTGTGATGCTGGGGACCACTGGAGGAGGCCGAGATGGATCATCCACTTGCCACTTATAGAGTCATACAGCACAGAAACAGACCCTTTGGTCCAACTTTTCTATGCCGACCAGGTTCCCCAAACTAAACTAGTCCCACTTGCCTGCATTTGGCCCATATCCCTCCAAACCTTTCCTATTTGTGTACTTATCCAAATGTCTTTTAAACATTGTAATTGTACCTGCATCCACCACTTCCTCCGGCAGTTCATTCCACACACAAACCACGTTCTGTGTAAAAAGGTCGCCCCTCATGACCTTTTTAAAACTTTCTCCTCTCACCTTAAAAATATGCCCTCTAGTTTTGAATTCCCTCATCCTGGGGAAAAGAACTTTTCTGTTTACCTTATCTATGTCCCTCACAATTTTACAAACCTCTATAAGGCTACCACTCAACCTCCTATGTTCCAGGGGAAAAAGTCCCAGTTTATTCAGCCTCTCCTTATAATTCAAACTCTCCAGTTCCAGTAACATCTTTATAAATCTTTCATCACTCCAATTTAATAATACCTTTCCTATAGCTGAGTGACCAGAACTGGACACAGAATTCTAAAAGTGGCCTCACCAATGTCCTGTTGTGAATGCTTTAGCCTTATCTTTGGCACTGATGTGTTGGGCTCTTCCATCATTGAGGTTCGGGATATTTGTGGAGCCTCCTCCTCCAGTGAGTTGTTTAATTGTCCACCACCATTCACTACTGGATGTGGCAGGACTGCAGAGTTAGATCTGATCTGTTGATTATGGGATCACTTAGCTCTGTCTAT